GTAAAAAATCATGACTTTAGTACATTCAAATTATTATTGCCAAATGTAAGAGCTTTTTTGCATACTATAAAAAAATGTCACTTTTTGCTATTTATGCCATACTTATTTTAAATAATAAAAAAACTTCAAGAAGTATTTTGAACCAAAATAAAAATTATCAAGACATTTTTTTAAAAAAAGAAATTCAACCATTATTGAAGAAGAATTTATCTTCAAGAAGAAGTTCAACCATTATTTGAACCAATTTATAGCTTATCACAAAATGAGTTGACTGCTCAAAGAACCTCAGTAAGAACTTTATATGCCATTCAAACTCTGTAAAAGAAGTTCTTATCTTGTTTGTGAAGATAAATGACAAATCATTTTGGATATATATAAATCATAGAAGATTCAATAAAATCACTATCAAAAATATGTATCTTCTATTTTTACAATCAATTTTTTAATCAATTAATTCATATAAAGATTTATATCAAATAGAACTACAAGATCCATATAACTTGGTATGTATTAAAGAAGAAAATGAATAAAAAATTGCATTTTAAACCAAGTATAGAAATTTTGAATATTATATCATGTCTTTTGGACTTGCAAATATATCAATTGCTTTTCAACATCTAACAAATAATGTTTATTGAGAATTTTTAAACAATTTTAATTGTTTATTATTTAGAAATAAAAAATAATAATTTAAAAATAAAAAAGAATAAACTTCATATTTGCCATGTATTATAAAAACTTAGAGATGCAAGATTATATGCCAAGATAGAAAATTATATATTTTATACAATTTAAGTTGACTTTTAGAATACATCATTTTAAATGATAGTCTTATAATGTATCCTAAGAAAGTTTAGACTATGATGGATTGAAAGGTTGGAAGAATAGTAAAAGATGTCTAAACTTTTTTAAAAATTTTAAATTATTATTAGATCTTTATCAAAAAAAATTCAAATTGAAGTTCTACTTAGACATTTGACTTGTAAAAGCAAATTTGAATGGAAAAAAGAAGTTGAAACATCATTTGAAGCTATTTGAACAATTTTTACAAAAATCTCAATTTTATATTATATTGATTTTTATAAGTTTTTTTTTAATTATAATAGATACATTAAATTTTTCTTCAAGGTATGATATTATTATAAATGGATCAAATGATAAACTTAGTCCTATAGCTTTTCATTCAAAAAATATTTCAGCTATTAAAATCAACTATAAGATCCACAAAAAAGACCTTGTAACTATAGATTCATTTCAAGAATAATATCATTATAATAAAAGTGCTTTCAATTAAGAATGTTCATATAGAGCATAAAAACCTCAAGTATTTTATGTCAACATGTCTTTTAATTTTTTTCCAAGCTTGTTAGAACATATTTTTTGTTAAGATTCAAAATTAAAATTATTACTAACCAAAAAATCACATAGTTTGTAAGATATCAATTTTTAATGATTTATCTTATACCAAAAAAAGAGATAAAATTTCTTACCAATTACAAATAATTCTTTTAAAGCCATAGCATATTCATCTTTGAGCTTTAAAATCAACATAGACTATTGATTAAAAAAAATCCCTCAATTTCAGCACTTCTACAAGTTAAAGTATTCAATTTGTTCATAATAACATCTAACTTGGACTCAAGAGACTCAACCATACTAACATCTTCACCTCCAATCATCCTTGAAGAAAAAAAGCAAGTTTTTAAATAATACTAATTTAAAAGAAGGTAATCTGCAACCTTGAAAGCGCTTAAATGCCTTCAAGAAGAGAAATATCCATTTTCTATCAAGAATGATTAAACTCTAGTATTGATAAGAGGATAGTTTCAACAAACTGTTATAGATACATTATATAGAAGACCAAACAAGAAGTTGAATAAAAGAATTTCAACAAGAAAGTTAACAAGAATTTAATTAAACCAAATGAGTACAAGATCAACACCAAAAAAAGTGAGTTAGAGCTCCAAAAGACATATTGTTGAGATTAAGAATCTCTTCATTCTTGACTCCAATATATATACCAGATATTAAGAAGCTTCTCAAGAAGTTTTCATGTTTTTTTGGAGACAAAGCAATTCTAAGACCCTTCTTAGACAACTTCCTTAATTATCCTAGAAACTTTCTAGAGTCTATTGGAATATTTTGAAAATCTTCTAGAACCTTCTAAAATATTTTATAAATATTTTTTTAAAATATAAGAACCTTCTAAATTATTTTATTAAAATATACTAAAAATCTTTTAATTTTTTTTATTGAATATCTATAATAAGTACTTAAAAGGTACAAAATTCTTTAAATTGTGTCTTGGTAATAAAAACATTGATTTACAAGGTTTTTGTAATGTGGATTGTATAAGAGATGCTAATGATAGAAGATCCAAAACAAGATATATGTCTTATTGAAATACGAGCTATTTTATAGAATTATGAAAGGTAGCCAACTATTGTAAGATCAACCATGGAAGCCAAGTATATAATATTAAGTTATTGTATAATGAAGACTTATTCAATAATACAATTTTTACAAGACATTAGACTAGTGCAATTGGAATCAACTCCAATTATGAGTGATAATTAAGGATGTCTTACATTTGCCAAGAATCCAAAGCACCATTCAAAGACCAAATACATTGATGTTCCATATTAATTTATATAAGAAAAGATTGAAGATGGTGTGATAAAAATAGATACTAGAAGTTGATAAAGGTATTAGAATTAAAAGCTTTTTAATAATTAGCAAAGGATAAGTGTTGAAGATCAACAAATCCTTAATTAATTACTAGTACATAGAATTTAACCATAGTAAGTTACTAATGGCCAAGTTATGTTCTTGATTATTATTTGAGGCCATTTAAAAAATACTTCAACTCACAAAAAACATGTTTATTTTTTATATATATAAAATTCAAGGTTGTTCTATTGGTTGCCTTAATTTTATTAATGTTGTTAAATAAGATAAATTTTCTAATAATTTCATATACATTTATTCAAGAAATAAGAAGTAAGAATTCTCAACACTTAGTATCAACAATGTTACTTTCAAAAAGAAGTATGGAGTAAGATAATTCTTACTTCTAGTTTTTTTTTTACTTATATGGTGAAGTTATGTTCTTATGGGCACATTTGATTCTATTCTTTATGAATCATGTTTTGATTAGAAATAACGTTGATAATTTTTTTCTATGTGATATAATCAAAAAAGGTTTTTTTTCTATAATTATTGTTTATGTTGATGAAAAAGAGTATGAAAGAACTAATTTTTAAGAATTTTATTATTATGTTAAAAATTGGTTTATACAACATTGTTAAATAAAGCACTATTTCAATAAATTAAAGTGAACATATTTGAAAGTTTTTTTTATTTTTAAATTATAAAAAGATTAACTCATTGATACTTCAATAGAAGCTAGCATGAAGTTTAAGTTTTTAAAGAAGATTGTGTTGAATTTGAAGATAAAATGGAAGGATTTTTATATACTATGATAATAAGTTTATATATAATGGTAGATAGAAAAATTAATTTTATATATGCAATAAGTATTGAACATCAATTAAGACGTGTTAAAAATTAGCCTTATATATTAGAAAATAGTAAAAAAAATATTAAGATATTTTATGGATGTATTTGACTAAATCTTATGTAATAGATATAAAATGTTTATTTACTAGGACATTGCTAAACAAATTAGGCTAAAGATATAAATGATTAGTTATCTCCTTTGAAACATGTAATATTTTATATAATAGAAGTTGTTTTGAAGAATTGCAAGACATAACTTATTATTATTAGTTCAACATTATGCTTTAATTTACATGGGATAGCAAAAGTTTTTTAACATTTTTTCAAAATCCAACTGCTAATCTTCAACAAAATATATTGATGTATAATATCACTTAATTAGAAGAAAGATGAAAGATAGAATGATAAGCATAATGTACTAAACAATAGAAGATAATATTTTTAATTTAAAACATGCACCATAGATATATGTAATATCTTTGATGTATAATATAAATTCATCCATAAACATGTGAATAAAACAAAAATTGTTTTTAAAAAGTTTTCTATAGATTACAAGATGACCAACATATTAATCTAAAATTTTAACAGTATTAAAATTTCAAAAAAATTATTTAATATGACGAAATTAAAAGATGCTTTAAATTTCTAATAACTGATTATGAGTAGAGCTAAGTGGTAATTAGATGTGGTTTAATATTATAATATAAAGTATCTTGCTCTAATCTTTCTTTTCTGTAAATTTGAGTAATTTACATGGTAACTTGAGTAAAACTTCAGTAATTTGAGGTGAAATTACCAGTGGTAGCAGGGCAGACAATGTGAAAGCAGCAGAGAATTTTACTAGTGAGTAAAAACTCAACCATAAACATCTGCCAAGATATCTTTTCACGTGAGCTAGTTACAGAAGGTTAAATTAGCGTTACAGGTGTGGTTGCTACAGTGGTTGGTCCAAAGATTTTAGTGGCGCCAAAACATGAGTTGCATTATGCAACCGCTACATGCTCACTCTTTACACCGAAAACAAACCAAACATGGTGATTATAAAGAGATCCAATTTTTGTGGTGTTAGGCACAGATATAGAATTCATGAATTCAAACGCAAAGACCACATTGACCTCAAATGCAACACCCCAGAATGACATGCTGCATTCACAGTTCAGAGAGGTGCCACAGCCTGCCTGCCACTAAACCATCAATGTGGTACGCTGCATAAAATATCCTTTAAGAATGTACACCCAATCTCCTCATTACCAAGGTGGAAAACAGACAAGCTGCGGGTTCCTGCAGGTTCTGAAAGGTCAGAACATCAAAAAACTCCTTCCTCACAAAAGTAAAAAATGTGCATGAGCGGGAGCTGCGCATCGGTTAGCCAAGCAGACTATGAACTTCAGCACCTCATTTAATGCAGAATGCTTTGCAAAAACACATAAGGTACAAAAACAAAGAACCTAACATGAACAAGCAAATGCAGATGCAGGTGAACGAAATCTAAATGTTCATGTTAAGCAAGTTGAACTTTGTTCATAGCCAAAAATATTATCTTAGCAAAATTCAATTTCATGAAAACAACGTGCACCACACCGAATGGCCATCACTGTACAGTTCGCAAATTTTTTTCGTTATTCATATCCTGTCACATGCTAGTAACCACATGAAAGACTTGCGGTAAAACCAACCAGACTTGAGCAGCAACTTATGATGAAACTCCAGCTGTTTTCATGTAACTATCAGCTGCTTGGGCAACAGAATTTATGGTCACAGGCACGCCCTTTCCCATCTGCAAAAGGAAAAATGCAATGATTAGAATTCCGATAGAAATTTGCGAATGAAATATAACACCATGTATAATACTGGTAACGAGTATCATAGTAACAAGCTTGTAACATTATTCCACCTAAACCTGGTACCAGCATGCGAACTGCGTGCAACCCAAGTGCATTGAACAATATACCAGACCTTCCAGATGACTGTTAAATTGGTGAAAGTACATTTATAGCCAAACCTATGACGACGTATGTCTATTAACGTTTCAAATTAATATTTAGAGATGAGTACTCATTGAAGAAATGAAATTACTTTCATTTCAATTAAAAGCGAGGGAATGTATTGTTTATCGCATACTAGACAAATTATTTTGATAAAAATAGTTAAATGTAATTGAACAAAAAGGCCAATTCAATTCAAGGACTAAACAAGAACGGTATAATGCATGTAGAGGCTCTATTCTACATTTAACTGTACAAACAGTGTTATTATAGAAAAATGTGAAGCAACAATGGCGTAATTGTCCTTCAAAGAGTAAAAAGTCAAAGATGAATATCTGCCCCACGCGGCAAACCCGCCAAAAGAAAAACGACCGAGTAGGATCGGTAATACTTTAACGTCTAAACAGTATCTACCAAAATCAGTGCTGACAAAACAATTAAGTGAAGAGAACACTTACAGTAGAAGTGAGTGTGAAACTAGTAAGATACCCGGCATACCTAGAAGCTGCAAACACGATCACTCCATCGAGTCAGTACACAGAAGCACCACTGGAATCAAACATTTACCGAGCAGTAGAGGACGATGATGGTGAACCGTATGGACAGGCAGTGACCTGGCAGATCATCTAATCGCGGGAAAAACTAAACCTCCACCGGGTCAAGACTCAGCGCAACATGCCTATTCTCTGTTACTTTACAAAAAAAACATAAGGCGCTCACTCTTTTTGAGTCCAACAGGCTTAGCTCCTAAGAGTGCTCCAACAAAGGCAGATATGTTTTGGATCAAAGCGTCATCACTAAAATTGACCTGCAATTCAGAACACATCAAGTCAGTCAAGGTGAACATATATGCTTGGAACATAATTTTAACTCCTAATTTCTAAAAAGTGAAAAAATACACAAACATACTGGGTTATAATGACACAGATGACCAATTGCAAATTAGTCATTGATAACGACATGCAACTAATGTTTGACGACGGTGCATACTTTCCCAACTCCAACGTGCACGATGCCCGACTTGTCAGCGCGAAAATCTACACGACCTTGTTTGGCAGCTCTAACAGCCTCTCCAACTTGGTTAGTTACTGTGCCCACCTGAAATTCGCATATAAGAACAATCACTAATGACAATCCTACGACTGCAGATTAGAGAAATTCAACACGAGAAGCATAACGTTGTACCCAGATGTGAGAGGCACAAAGGAGGCCGAAGTATCTTCACTGAAACTGTTTGAAAGAATTAAAATTCATAAATTACTCCTAAAGAATAAAAAGAAACAAGTGAAATATTTTCACTCGACATGAGAAAGATAGGAAAAGAAGAAGGCGTACTTTAGGATTAGGCATTAAACCCCGAGGCCCCAAAATGCGGGCCACCTGCAAACACACAGTCAACACACAGGTGCTTATAACTAAAAAAATCAAATCAACGAGCAAAGGTGCATGATCATACCAACTTTAAGCTTATAGAACCTAAAATCCTGAACAAACCCATTTAAAAACACACCTTTCCCAGTCGAGGCATGAAAGATGGCGTTGCTATGCATTTATCAAAGTCTAACTTCCCACCACCTGCACAACATGACATTTATCCCATTATTCAGAGGTTTCAAAACAGGTATAAGGTTACCAGGCAGGATGCAATGATCCACATTAAGTCCGAATGAGTAAGAACACCAAACAACATTAACTATCGTCAAAATATGAAATAATCATCACTGCACTTCTAAAAAAGTCACAGCCAGTGACCAACTTCCTCATGTGTGCATGTGTCTATGTGTGTGTGTATATATAAATATAAATATACATATATATCTCGCAAGATTTGAGAGGCATTATATAAATAATTATGTAAAAGAAGCTCCTTTCATACATACAAAAGTAAGAAATCATCCATAAATAAACGTATAATGAACAATGTCAAAACCAAGACACCGATATTCTAATAACATTTTAAAACATTTAACTTTTTCCGATCTCTAATGAACCTTCAGGTCCTTACGTCCAACTACCGGCGCATTTACAAAAGACGAATAGGTTTAACGAGACGCTACTCGAGAATTGTTTCAACAACACATGCAACACATGAATAGAATGAACAGCACAGCAATAGGACTTACTGTCCTTGATGCGATCCACAAGGTCGTCGGCTCCAACAACATCTGCGCCAGCAGCAAGAGCCTCTTGAGCTTCCGATCCTTCTGCAAATACAGCAACTCTCACCACCTGAAAAATACAGTGCTTTAGCGTAGACATCAAGCGTAAGTTGCGACATTCAGTACAAAACTATTCTGATAAACTACGAATTCATGGTTAAGTCAGAGAAAAAGACAAAACTTCCTAGGAGGATGTGTCCAACATAAATTGACAGAAATCTACATACCTTGCCACTTCCATTTGGAAGAGTTGCGGCCCCACGAACCATCTGCATTTCTCTTCAAATTAGTTCGTCTCGATGCATGAATAAATTCATAATAAAATGAGTAAAAAAAACCTAGACAGTGTACAGAAGTTTCTCCCGTATACAAAATGACAAAAACACGCAGAGAAGTAGTGCGGACTTTCCAAAAAACACGAGTTCAAAATACTGCAATTAAAGACCTGGTCGTTTGTCCAATCATGAGGAACATGCGCGTAACTACTTCAAGCTATCCCTCGTCTTTGAGAAAAGGATAATTGATTTTATCATCAAAACTAAGATTCTGTGCTCCAAAGGAGATGCAAGCTCGATATAAATACCTGGTCACTTCTTTTAGGATCTATCCCTAATCGAACATGAGCTTCAACGGTCTCCGTAAATTTGGCTTTCGCATTCTCCTGCCAGACGAAAGTAGGAAAAGCATTTCAAAACTCTTAGATGTCAGCGAAGATAACCATAATATATCTCAAGAGAAGAGGGGGAATGAGATCAGAAAAACACAGAATTCCAAAAAAAAATAAATTAAACAACAAAATATGAAATTCGTAAAGATCATTTGAGAAACATCCTGTAAAGCAGAAAAACATCAATTTCGTAGACCACAATGCAACGTACGGGAATCGTGTCCGAGAAACGAACTGCAGAGTACGATCATTGATCGTTTGCTGAACTCCAACTTCTATTGACCTCTGACGGCTACACGTAAATGAAAACACAGGAAATAGAGGGGACGAAGGCTGAGGAGAGAGCATCACCTTCACCAAACGAATTGCATCAACGATAAGCTGCGGATCTTGGCGGGTGCCTTTTTGCAACTTGATCAACGAAGGCAGAGGAATAACCGGTTTGACCTTCTCAGGCGGCGATGGAATTCTGTTCGCAGCTTCAAGTGCTTCTAGGGATAAATCTTCAGGAAGATTAGCAACTCGAGGTTTCGTTAAGAGTGCATCGCCTGACTCAATCAGCGACGCTGAGACTGTTACATCATCTAGAGTAGAAACATTCGCGGGTGAAAAACCGGGGGCCGGATCAGAAGAGTCAGGTTTTGCGTCAGAGCTAAAAGAACAGACAGAGGAACGGAGAGGAGTGATTTTAAGGGCCCAGAGGGATGGAATGGAACCCGAGACAGACTTAAGGAAGAATGCCCGATGTAAAGGCAGACGAGCAGCCATCACAAATCTCTGGGAGAGGAGCAGGAGAAAATCTAGTGGGCGGAAGAAACGGGAGAAGTAGAAGTACGAAGGTAGAACATAGCCACGAAAATGCAGAGGCGAGGGTGAGGAACGCGGCAGCAATGTGTCATAGCCAACACCGAAGAGCGGTGCAGACGTGCGATGAAGACTACGCAATGCTCCACGAAGCAGGGTTTAGGGCTTTGGGGGGAGAGAAGACACACACTCACTCACACACCCTCTCTCGCTCCACTCCACTCCACTCCACGTCATCGAATCAGTCGGGGTTTTACATCCGCTGCAGCCCTTCATACATCCACTCTGGTTCTGCTTCCCTACCTGGTCCATTTCTGCCCTTTCTGGGCAGGGCATAGCAGGGCTGCTTTCACACCACCTCCACCTCCACATTCAGTGAGTGTGTGGGCCCCAACCAACCCTGTTTGTTAACTGACTGATAATCCTGATGGAAATGGTGGAACAGATCCCAACATCCCCCCCTTGTAACCACACTTCCTTCCTATCTCTCTCTCTATATCTATTTACATTCATATCTCATATGTTTTTTTATTTTTTATTTTTTTTGCTTTCATTCAATCCTGCACACTATGATCATTACTGCTGCTACTGCTACAACCATCAATTGTGTTTTATCGACCAATTTACTTTCAAACCAGTTTCTGCTTATTTACACTTGTTAGCACCTACTTACAACTCTCAAAATGATCAAGTTTTACTTAGCAACAACTAACAGAGTCATACTCATACTCTCAACTCACTTGAAAGATTTTCACCCACACTTGCATGGGAATTTTTAATTTTAAAATTGGATCAAATTACATTTTTTTAATAAATAAAATATGGATAGAGATATACTTGGACCTCGAAATAGGTACCTCAAAGTGGTGGCAGCAGCTGCAGATGAATAAGCAGACAACAATTCAAGCAATGAAGACTCCACTTAAGCCAAAGAATCTTTCAAAAAACAAGTAGATGCTGCAATGGAAAAGCTACATCTGTCTTAATACATTGCATGTCAAATCCAATGGCATGTTAATAATAATATGTTTCTAAATATGTACATCATGACATCAATTCTTTCCTGGTTGTTGATTATCCACAATTGGTATTGAAACTAACTTATTTTTTAAAAAATATTTTTTATTCCAAATAATAGATATATAAATGAAATATTTGCATACTTCTGAGTTTGTATGCCCATAATTAAGAACAAAAGAACCATCGTGTTACATAATATGTTTGTTAGTTATTTCAATTGTACAAAAAAATAAAAAAAGAAGAAAAGAATGATTTTTTAAAATATGAAAGTAATTTATGCATAACTAAAAAATAAAAATGAAATGACTGAATTTCCAATGTGCAGTTTTCACTTGTAATAAAGATTTTTTTAACTATGAATATAACAGGAAATACAATTCATAAACGTGTGTATGTTTTGTGTCTTCAACTTTGCAACTAATATTTTAACAACAGTATGATCTTTTCAATCTACAATATTAAATTTTGTAATCAATTCAGTGTTGTCTTTAGCTTTTCATTGTTAGAGGTGCAATGATTTTCATAAAAGGTTGTACTTGACATGTCATTGATTTGGTGCTGCCTTTTGAAAACACAATCAGTCATATTTTATTCATTCTGAGTTGTAATTTCAAATGTATTGTTATTATTATTATTGTTGTTGTTGTATGTGCTTCAACAAAAATAGAAGTTTGTAAAAAGATCTTTATTATGAATACATTATCAAGGTGTTAAATATCTGTAAGCATCAAAGATCCATTCAAAAGTAAGGACATCATGAATCCATCAATTACAATCATTGGTGCATGACTTTTGAAAGCTGTGCATGCGAATGTTTTCTAAACAAATCACAAATAATATGTAATAGAAAGAAGCTTTGCAAAAATGTGAAATAAAAAAAATCAGGTTCATATTTTTGAATTTCGTGACAATTATTAAATTTGAGCAATCATATTACATTGCCTTCATACATATGGATTGAATGAATGCTGTTGAATTTTTTTTATGTGATTGGCAAGGTAAATTGATTCACAAACTCTGTGAAATACAAGCCTAAAATATCTTTAAACAGTAATAACTTAGCTGCATTTACTACTGTTTACTTAATTCTATTATACTTTGATAAAATCATGCACATGCAGCAAGTATAGCTATTAAAGTAAATTTCATACTTAAGTATTATTTACAAATAAAACCAAAACAGTTGTATGTGAAGCTGAAAACTTATGAATAATTGTAAATCTTGAAAAATAAGCATGCCTAAAAAAGAAAAGTAATTCAGCTACACACTTAATCAATTTTATTTCATTTTACTTTATTTTTTCTACATTACTACCGTAATCATCCATTTCTGCAAATCTTCTTAATTTTTTTTAGTAGCATATGGTATCCATTTTTTTTCCACATGTTTTATCACAAATGAAACAAAGTTTTAGCATGTAGTGTTGATTAGAAGTGTTTGGCTTGCCTTGATGTCTGTAAAGAGAGGAATCTTCACCTTGGGCCTCTTTCTATTGGTGTTCTATAACTTCATGGCTCAATCTTCCCATTACATAGTCAAGTGTTAAGTTTTTAATTGAGATAGATGCTAAAGTTGCAATAAGTCTAATATACAAATTCAACAAGCTCTTCAACAATGTCATAAATATATTACAATCTTCCAAAGTTTTATTAAGAATGGTAAGTTAGTTTACAAGGGCTTTTACCTTGTTGTTATGTGAAATCAAGTCTTTACATTCATCCATCTTAAATATAAAGAACTTATGTCTTATGATGCTGTTAGAGAGGTTTTTTGTATCATAGATGATACAAAGAGTCTTCTATGGTTGAGCTTATTCTTTACAAGAAATAATGTGTAAAGTTGGTATTAATCAAATTTGATGCAATGGTGCCAAATTCTTATTTTAATGTCTATTATACTCCTTCATGACTTTGGCATTTGCATCTTTTGGTGAAAATATCTTTAAAATCATCAATAATATTTTAAAGATCCAAAGTTGCCAATAATAATTCCAATTTAACCTTCTAATGATAGAATCTCTTTCTATAGAACTTGTTAATCACTTTCAAATCATCTCCTATTTTAGAATCTATAATGAACATCATATATCATATTCAATTATATAAAAAAGAGATAAGAAGAGATTCTATATAATTTAAAATCATCTCCTATTTTTGAATCTATAATGAACATCATATATCATATTCAATTATATAAAAAAGAGATAAGAAGAGATTCTATAGAATTTATGGTTTATTAGAGATGCAAAAGATAGATTTAGAGATTCATTTATAGAATTTTAGGTATTCATATTCTTTCATGTGGAAATCCTTGCTATCACTTAAAAGCAAAACTTAATAAGTTACTTGAGATCTACAAATCTTCTCAACACTTTTTTAACTCACTATATACTTGTATTGCTTCAAATCACTTGTAATGACTTGATATATTTTCATATTAAATAGAATAGAAATATCTTTTTTTTTAAAAAAAAATTAATAATTTCTTAAAAAGATATTAATCCTTTGTATTCAATGTTGTGTAAGTTGTAAATGATTAAAATGCAACAAAGGGTGAAGGCAAGTTATTAAAGTGGTAGCTAGGATTTTAAGTGGTGACTATATTAAAAACAAATCTAAGATTTCATTAAATAAAATAATATAGAATAAAGTTAATTATTAAGAAAATTTATCTATATGAAGTATAATTATCTTTCTATAAGTAAACATTTTTGAAAGTATGGAGTATATTTTATAATTAAAAATAATATTTTAAAAGACTTATATTGTATTTTTTTTTTCTTGAATTCAATCTTTGATGGATTCACTTTATGGTTTTAATAAAAAAAAAAGATTAAGGTATTTAAAAGACCTTACAAGGTGCTAAAAAATAATTTATAAGCAAAAAAATGATTTAAGAGTAAAAAATAAAATGTTGAGGATTTCTATTCTTTTTATTCTTCTTAAAAAAGATTTTAAAAAGCATTAGGATTTAAAATTGTAAGGTTATATTAAGTTTTATTAAAATTTAAAATATTTAAGTGGATTTGGTAGTCTTTATCTCTATTTTTATACTTCAAAGATGTCAAGGATAAGAATTCAAAGAAGATATGTAAATAATTAGAAAATAAATCAAAAGAGATGATAAATTAGAAATAAAAAACTAAATATATTTAATAAGAAATTATAATGGCTATTGCCAAAGACTAAAAAATTAGAGATTCTTGAAATTAAACAAGAAGAAAGAAAGGAATTGACAAGTATAAAGAAGGCTTCACTCTTGCCTCCATATATACTATCTAACAATGAGTTATATGGCAATATTTTATAAAAATTCCAATATGTATTGGTTTTGCAAGACATATATCTTAACTTACAAGATAAGTTTTTTATATGTGTGCCACATAGTTAGTTTATTCCATAAGCTACTAAAACATGTGACACATGATTAATTTATTGATCAAGTTTATAACCTATCAATCAACTATAAACATATATAAAGTCAAAACTACATCTATGAAACTTCAAAAAAGCTATTTTAGAAGATATTATGAAATTTATCTACTTTTATTTATTTTTGTTTAATCATATATATAATTATTGGAATAAATATGTATTTCTATGACATTACTTCCTTTCTAAGGGTGAATTCTATAAGGATTAGTCATCATATTTCTTAAATTTTATTAATCTTTATTTTAATTTTGGTCGATGTTGTCAATGAAAAGCCTCAACCTTCTTTGTTGTATTTGCAAAATTCTTTGTTGGCTCATATAAGGGTTTTTTAATATCATATCCATGCTAATAAATAAGATATTCCAACCTACTTTGGCATTGCTTTGAATCTTAGACTTCTTTGACTTCAAATTTTTAATTCTTATCTACTTTTGTAACAAAGTATAGATAAGATCTTTAAACATGGTTCTAATTATATATTTCTATTTTAGAAAGAATTTACGGTGGTTATTTAAGTAGAACCTACTATAGAACCTTTTAGAATAGGCTTAGGACAGTTATCTAGGTGGAATCCACCATGGAACCTTTTAGAAGGAATTTAAGGTGGTTATCTAAGTATGGTTCATCATTTAAGATCATTCTAGAAAGTCTAGGGTAGTAACATAAAGTATAAATAGGACTAGCTAGGGCCTTTTGGGCATTTGGTTAGGTATGGCTTTGGATCTTCTCTCT